CCATCCCCGCCTCTTCGACCTGTTTGTTTCCTCTCCACCTATCCTCTCCTCTATCCCTCTTCTATCCGCCTCCCACTCTCTCCCTATTTCTTTCAGAACTCCCTTCCCCTCCCCCTTTTCTGATGAAGGGTCTAGGCCCGAAACGTCAGCCTCTCTGCTCCTATGATGCTGCTTGGCCTGCTGTGTTCATCCAGCCCTGCACCTTGTTGTCTTGGCAGTTATGTGCCTGTTATCATCTACTTGGTGCATTCTCCATGGCAACACTTCTACCGATCAGAGTCCACTTTCCAACAAATCAGCGCGCTCTTCTCACAAAGTATAAAAATGTTGTTTCCCTCTTTACATAGGTATCCTCATGAATGTCCTGATGAACGCAAGATGCAAAATGTGTCTTATATCTTAAACGTTTAAAGATTAGGAACTGACAGTGTGCAAGAGACCTGGGTGTCCATGTCACTAAAAACTGAAATGTATTTGGACAACAATAAGGTAGACATTAAATATGTGGCCTTCATTGCAAGAGGATTTGAGGACAGAAATACAGATATGTTGCTGCAATTGTATCGAGCTTTGCTGAGATTGCTCCTGGAGTAATGTGAATAGTTTTAGTTTCTATATGTGAGGAAGTATGTACTTGCCAGAGAGGGAGTGCGATAGGTGCTCATCAGGCTAAACCCTGGGATGATGCAGTTTTCCTATGATGAGAGATTGAGGAAACTGAGTCTGTGGTCTCTAGATAACAAGGTGTAGAGCTGGATGAACACAGCAGGCCAAGCAGCATCAGAGGAGCAGGAAGGCTGACGTTTCGGGCTTAGACCCTTCTTCAGAAACGGGGGAGGGGAAAGGGGTTCTGAAATAAATAGGGAGAGAGGGGGAGGCGGATAGAAGATGGATTGAGGAGAAGATAGGTGGAGAGGAGACGGACAGGTCAAAGAGGCTTGTGAAGTCCAAGCTTCAAAATCTCCCCTCCCCCTACCGCATCCCAAAACCAGCCCAGCTTGTCCCCGCCTCCCCAACCTGTCCTTCCTCCCACCTATCCCCTCCTCCCACCTCAAGTCCCACCCCCATCTCCTACCTACTAACCTCATCCAGCCCCCTTGACCTGTCCGTCCTCCCTGGACTGACCTATCTCCTCCCTAACTCCCCACCTACACTCACCTTTACTGGCTCCATCCCGGCCTCTTTGACCTGTCCGTCTCCTCTCCACCTATCTTCTCCTCTATCCATCTTCTATCCACCTCCCCCTCTCTCCCTATTTATTTCAGAACCCCCTTCCCCTTCCCCATTTCTGAAGAAGGGTCTAGGCCCGAAACGTCAGCCTTCCTGCTCCTCTGATGCTGCTTGGCCTGCTGTGTTCATCCAGCTCTACACCTGGTTATCTCAGATTCTCCAACATCTGCAGTTCCTACTATCTGTGTGGTCTCTAGAGAATGAATGGTGATCTTATGAAAACTTACACAATTCTCACAGGGCATGATAAAGTACAGCTAGATAAGATGTTTCCATTGGATGTTCAGGTTAGAAACAAATGACGTATTCTCACATTAAGGGCTATGTCATTTAAAACTGAGATGAAGAGGAATTTCTTCAATCCGTGGGTGGTAATTCTCCACCCCAGAGAGCTGTGGAAGTTCAATCACTGGTCAATTGTGACAGAAATTGATAGATTTCTGGAGAGTAATGACATCAAGATGTCTGTTGATAGTGCAGGGAAATGGTATTGACATAGATGATCAGCAATGATCTAACTGAATGGGGGAGCAGTTTCAATGGGTTGAATGGCCTCCCCCCATTTGGAATAAACTGAATGAGCCTAATACTGTGCAATATAATTGCTACAGTGCCATTTGCTGCTGTCACCTTCAGCTAGAATCAACTTTAGATATTTTCTAATCAATTTGTTCAGGGATGTTATGACACACCTCTGGAGCAAGTGGGACTTGAACCCAGGTTTCCTGGCCCAGAAGTATGTATTCTACCACTGTGCAAGAGTCCCCAGAATTGACTGTATAAAGGTTGTACTTTAATTTGTAAACACAATTCCCATTTAGGTGAGAACTTTGCCAATATCCTTCAATGGATGAAGAAATAAGATGAGCCAAAATCTCTGGTGGATCTCCCTCACGTTGGTACAAGTGAAATCAATGTGTGAGAACTAAGGGCCTCCAGCTGTAAACAGTCACATACCCTATTAATAATTATGAATTAATTGGCTTAATTGGTTTGAATTTAAGTAGACATTTTCTAGAATTTAATAACAGATTTTTTGAAACATTTACTTACCTGCTGAAGAGAACATGCTGGTGCTTGATTCCTGAAGTGGAAATTTAAAGCATTAGATAATGTATCAGTGAAATAGATGTTTATAAACAATAAAACTGAAATACTATCTGATAAAATTCTGTCTTACCGAGGGTATTTCATGAGGTCTGTCTGTCATTGGTCTAGTGACAGTGACGTGAGTGGAATGGGTATTCTGTGTTGTAGCTGCTGTTGGATTACTACTTGAGCCAGACTTAACAATGGTCTGTAAGGAAACATGATAAAATATGAAAAAAAAACGCTCCTAAACTAAAATCCTGTGCAGCGTATATTTTGTATTTGCCAAATAATACAGATTAATTAATCTTTTATCCTTTCAACAATACGTGGAAAATACTGAACTCAGATTATCCAGGAGAAATCTGCAATAAAACCAGGTAAATTAGCATTTCAGTCATGAATACAGGCTGTGTGTTCTTGGGTGATAGGCTGCAAGGGGGTGTTAAAATAAGATATCAGTTGCAGATCAATGGGCAGATTAGGATTTTGGGTGGGTGCTCAGATCTTTTTCATCTCCCACTGTGGACTTTACTGTCATTTGCCACCTCTGCTCAACTTGCACTAATCATAGGCGCATTACTCTGTATACATCTCGTATATTTGAGAGGCATAGCAGTAATGTCACTAGGCTAGTAATCCATTCTATAAGAGCTTTGTGTGATAGTCCAGAAAGGTGTGCAGTGTTATTATGCCATGCTGTACCCTTCACAACTGTAATGACAAAAGAGGATGACCTGGATACAGAGGTATTGGTGGTACAACAACAATGTTGTGAGGATAAAGTTGAGGGTGAGGGTCAGGACATTGTTTAGGAGAGCCTTCTGAGAGAGTGTGATTGAGCAATGTATTATCAAGTATGAGAGGCCAGAGAGAACCTCAGTGATAAACTACTTCCAGGACGAATGAACTGAGTGTGGATTTCATTTATTTGTTTATTTTCTGTTGGTGATCTGGCAAGTAGCCCCTGATCAATATAAATTTGCTCTTTAGTGTTGCTAAATGAGAGTCTCATTGTCCATCTGATTTTACACCAAACATCTCACTTCCAAGTATCCAGATACTACATGTCCTGCACTGACTGTCATAGAAAAAGCAGCAGTTAGTGAGGCAGTTTCTGTTAAGGTAACATGGAGGTAAGGTTAGATAGCTGGAAAATTTCCATCGGGATATCATATCAGAACGTTTTGCAGTGAGGTTTCTCAAGAGAGGAGCTCTGAGGAATCTCCATTTAACCCTTCCATCATTCCCTTCATTGTGTCAGAGTGCATGCAGACGTGAAAAACTTCAGCATTCTCTTGGTGAACCTATGACAGACAGCACTATGTGCAGTTTTTCTCAGCAGGCCAATGTGCTACGAAGGAACATGAACATGTGAACCACACATTGACCATCTCCCGACCTTGACTGGCTGTGCATTCCCGTGAAAATCTGTTATGTAAAATGAATCTTTCCCTCAGAGATGTATGTATTCATCACTGATTCTGGTCTCTCATTCACAAGGTCGGTGTAATGGTGCAATCATATGTGTAAGGCCAGGCAACAGCACCTTCATTACTTGTTGCATTTAGCCTCAGTGTTGTCCACAACAGGGTGCAACACTTTTGCTACAGTACTCAATGTTATGGTTCAAAGATCACTGGCATTGGAGACCATCTGCAGTCCAGGATGAAGATAAAAGTGAGGCTTGACCAAAACGACTCCTTCTATTCCATGAGATATCCAAACAGGCTGCACATCCCTCACATGGATGAGACGAAATCAAATGCAACAGTGACTAGTACAGCAGGTATTTTAACAGTGTGAGTGAAAACATAGGGGGCGCTGGTTACCTTAGTTGGCTGGATGGCTGGTTTGTAATACAGAGTGATGCCTGCAGCGTGAGTTCTATTCCAATGCCAGCTGGGTCCACAGTGAAGGATTCTCCTTCTCAACATCTCCCCTCAACTGAGGTGTGGTGGCCCTCAGGTTAAACCACCACCAATTATTTCTCTCTCTAATGAGGGAACAGTCTTATGGTCTGGGAAAACTCTGACGACTTTACTTATATTTACAATAGTTAAACGTTGTTCATAATGGTGTTTCCCTCATGACTCCTACGTGCCCTCGGTCAGTTTATTTGCTCCTGTGTCTCTCTCTACATGGAAGTGCAGTTCCAGCTACAGCAGCTGGAGTGATGGAAGCCTGCTCCATGATTGACTCTGTTAGCCTGAAATCTTAAGGAACCCTTAAAATACAGAAAATAGGAGTAGGAGTAAGTGATTTGGCCCTTCGAGTCTGCTGTGCTGTTTGTTATGATCATGGCTGATCATCCAACTCAATAGGAAATAAAAACAGAAAGAACTGCGGATGCTGTAAATTAGGAACAAAAGCACAGTTGCTGGAAAAGCTCAGCAGGTCTGGCAGCATCTCTGAAGAAACTATCAGAGTTAATGTTTCAGGACCGGTGACCTTTCCTCAGTGGCTCACCCGACCCGAAACGTGAACTCTGATTTTTCTCCTCACAGATGCTGCCAAACCTGCCGAGCTTTTCCAGCAACTGTGTTTTTGATTCAAGTCGATAGGCTGGTCTTGCTTCACACCCACCCCATCCTTTGATCCTTTTAGCCCCAATATCCAACTCCTTTTTTGAAATCTTACAATGTTTTGGCCTTCACTGCTTTCTGTGGTACACAGAATTCCACAGGCTGACCACATTCTGAATGAAGAAATTTCCCCTCATTTCAGTTTTAAATGGTTTATCTCATACATTTAGACTGTGACCCCTGCTTTGGACTCCTCGGCCATCGGGAACATCCTTCCTGTATCGACCCTGTCTATCCACTATTGCCTTTGAGCTTGGAGTTCCCAGGCCTGCTCAGAGTGTCCAGTCCAGATTCAGGCTCAGCCCTCATTTGTACTGTTTCAGGCTCTGGGATCATGGACAGGGGCTGTGCAGGAGTCAGGTGGGTTCTGAAAAGAAACTTCTGGGATTCCACGTGTCACTGTCCCCTCCCATGGGCACCTAGAGGCATCACCCTGTCGGCCTCATCTGGAGTGAGGCCATGATCCCTCACCCCTCTCAGCTGGGGGAACCTGCTGCTAGAGTGATGGAGTGTAACTCAGTCCTGTGAAGAGGCAGACAGTGAGTGCGCTGGACATGGCTCTCCACCTGGTTTCCAGTCTCTTGATGGGGAGAGCCTGCTGGAGCTGGTATGGCACTGACAATGTTGGTTTGGACTGCACCATCCTCTGACATAACTTACTAAGTCCTCACAAATCAGCCTGTGGACCACGTGCCTGTCTGTACCGTTTGACAAAACGATGAGTGACCGAGACCAACGCTTGTCGATTCCCGGTCGCTGGGTGGGTTGGGGGGTAAGGTATGTGCCTGGTCCCAGCACTGCTCTGAGTGGACAGCAACCTGGTGTGGAAACATGTCAGTGACTGGCTCCCTAGATTGTGTTCCTGAGTTTAATTTGAAAGTGTACCCACAGAGGTGGAAGTGTCTGAGCTGGTGGATGGGCCAGGCGAAGTCCTTGGTGATGACTGTTCACTGGATTTGGAGGAACTGTTCCCAGAATCAGAGTCAGTGTTAGAGGTTCTTGATCCTGCCTGTTGTTTCTCAGGGTTGCCGTGTGTTGTTGATGGCTGCATGAAGAAAAGCAGAAATAGTTGGTGAAGATGGATTATGGCTTGCACAGATGATGAAGGAGTTGATCCAGTTATTAATGGAGGAATAGTGTAATGTAGTACACTGGATTGTCTGCCAGTGAGATCTTAAAATTCATGCGTCCTCAGATGCAGAAACAGCCCATGTCCAAATGCACTAGACCTGGACTAGATTCAGACTTGGCCGAAAAGTGGGAAGTAACATTTGCACCACACAAGCGAAAGGCAATGACCTGTTCCAATGAAAGACAATCTAACCATCATTCCTTGAAATTCAATGACATTACCATCACTGAATTCCCAACTATTAACATGCTTGAGTTTACCGCTGACCAGAAACTCAACTGGACTCACCACATGAAGACAGTGGCTACAAGAGCAGGTCAAACGCAAGGAATCCTGCAGTGAGTAACTCACCTCCTGACTCCCCAAAGTGTGTCCACCGAGTACAAGGCATAACCAGGAGTGTGAGGAAATACTCCCCACTTGTCTGGATGATTCTTCCTGTTAACTGGCAATGCAACTAAGGCGAACAGATGCTTCCTATCCACCCTGTCCATGTCCTCAACATGTTATTCCCCTCAATTGGGTCCACCATCAGTCTTCTCTGCTCTAAAGAAAACAACCCAAGATCATTCAGCCTCTCTTCATAACTGAAACACTCCATACACCTCAATCAGGTCCACCCTCAGCCTTGGGCAACAACAGGACCTGCAGGATTTTGAGGTTCAGATTGTCAGAATCTGACACCAACAGACCAATGATTGACAGTCAACGAGAACGAGGGAATGGCAGCAAGACTTTGTAAAACATATAGTGAGGAAGAGCAATCCTGTTCCCAGGGTCTGTATTCATGCAAGTAAATATGAAAGACCCGTCTTGTAATGCCAGCAGGACCCATGAACTGGTATGACTGAGTACAGCTGGCACTGCCTGCTCCAGGAGAAACCAGTCCTAAAGTAGACATTTCTTATCTGTCATCTCAGGAATGTAGTGAGTCAGTTAGTGTCTGTAGTTAACATCTACAAGATATACTGTAGTACCTCACCCATCCTCCTCTGACAGCACCTTCCAAATCCACGACTCTACTAACTAGAATGACAAAGGCAGCGGAAGCACGTGATCACCACAACTTGCGAGCTCCTTCTCCAAGTCATACATCATTCTGACTTGGAATTAAATGCTATTCCATTACCGTTGTCAGCTAAAAAATCCTAAAATCCAGTATCTAAACCCAAAGGATATGCTCCACTCCAGTGCAGTCTGGGATGGGCAATAAATGCTGGCCAAGACGGTGATATTCACAACCTGTGAATGAGTTGAACAAAAAATGTCTCATGGGATCAACGTTTCAAACCAGATTGTCCTGACACTGTAATTCCCAAAGGAAATGCCTGACCATTTCTGGCAGGAGATCAATCCTCAATTTGATTCATTACTTGCTAACTACTATCCTATAGATAAGTGAAAGATTGTCCTTTTAGGTCCCACTCAAGAACTAGGTCAGATTGGGAGGCTAATGCTGTTTCTCATTGAGGTACCATGATCTCGAG